CATGGTTTTTTTTCCTAATAAACTTTTATTTTTCTAGCCGTTTTGGAGTGGTGCTAAGACAAGGTGACTGCGGTGACAACTGCGGGAGGCTTTGAACTTTTGAAAATGATGGATAAATGCATAAGAAAAATCACTCAGATGAAAGCAAAAGCAGAAAGACAGAGACCAAAGTGGGCTGCTGACCCTGCATCCACAGATGGGAGTTTCATTTAAAAGCAAATTCAGTTTTTTTTACTGGACCTTTTGAAGCAAGGTGTGTACAAACATGCCAAGTCCTGCAGCCTTTCCACACCGGGAGCCTTCCTCCAGATGTTCCTTCTATGCTCCTGACTTGCTGCCTTGTTTTTTTTTTTGCTCTTTTTGAAGTGGTGTCCCATTTCCTGTGCACAAAGACTATTCCTTGTTGTATTTTGGAGACCAATTAAAAATATCGTCTGACTTCTGTGTACGATCCATCTCTGCCCTTGGCCGGCTCCTACTCCCTTATTCTTGTGGCACCTTTTGGGCAGGGACTTGTTTTACAAGGCAGATCATAATATTGTCCAGAAAATGGAGATGTGCAGCCTAATTTTAAGTCAATCTGGTTAGTTCTCTTCCCTGAAACAAGCTTAAACCACACTAAAAAGTGAACTACAGTGCTGACTTTTAAGGAAAAGCCTGCAGCTCTTCCTGTGCTACATATATGGTCTACAGCCGCTCCCTCACCCCACGAGCAGTGATGGCCAGCATGGTCTTCCCGGAGTGATCCCAGCCCATCCCACCCTGAGAAGCTCAGCCAAACCATTCCCACCTCATTTGTCAATCCTGGGAGCATTGCTCAGCTCCCCCTTTGTTCTGGCCCTCCCCACATATGTGCACTCTGCTGTGAGTTATCAAAGCGCAGCCGTATGCTCCAGCTGCTGAGTGATTTGCAGCGGAAACGAGTTTGGCTCTAGCTCTGATTTGTCCCCGGGAATGAGTTTCTGATCCTGCTGAAGTCCCTGGTAACACTGCCAAGCTCTTCAAAGGGGCCAGGCCTCGCTTTGTAAGCTCACCTCTGGTGTTTGGCTTGCAAACACCTATAGCAGTGTTGGTCATTCAAGAAAAATGATGGAGGTGAATAGGGCTCAAAGTCCAAAGGGTGATGCTGCACAAAGTGTGTAGCTGAGCAAATACTGCTTTAGAAACAGCATGAGTAAGTTCATTCAGGGCAGCCCTGCCCTCAGCAGCAGCATCAAGGCAGCGGTTCGGAAGCTGGATCAGCCTTGTGTCAACTATTGTAAAAGGGTGACAAAATGAATGGTGTACAAGAGGAAGAGGCTTCAGGCTTGCACATGCTTCTTAAATATCACCTCCTACCATCACAGCCTTTACTGACTTCCCCATGCTACTGGGCACTAGCCAGACCATAATGAACTGTGGTGTCTTTCTGGGAGGAGGGAGTGAGCTGGGGAAAAGAAGATGGGATAAACCCAGTGATTGCAAGGGAAAACAAAAAAGGTAAGGGGGAGCAGTGTTAATGCAAAACTGGAGAAGTGGGGTGCCCCAAGGAAAGGACTCAGGGAAGGCTGATGATGGTGGTGGTGGAAGGTCAGAGCTGCCTGGATGTAGGGCCTCAAATGAAGTTGGTAGGCTTGGCCAGGTCCTGGCTGAGCCTCTTGGCATGACTGGCTTAAGTCAAATGACCATGGGAGGTGGCACTGGCCCACCACATGTGGGGCATGGACCCCTTAGTGCCAGGTAAAGATGGTGCCAGTGCAGGCCCAATGGGGCAGAGATGCCCAGGTCCAGGACCACAAGTTTTGGGAGCATCATGTAACCCAGTGTGGACCTGAGAAGCGGCAGGGAATGTTAGAGGGGCAAGATGGGGGTGCATCAGGTCACACTGGCTCGATCCCTGCTGGGCAGAGGAAACGGAGGAGGGCAGAGCCAGGGCACTCAGCGCCCTCCCCTTCGGTCCCGGGGACCCCCGCTGCCCCAGCCGACAGCCTCCGGCGGGCGGGCAGGGCGGCGGGGGAGGGGGGGGGGCGGGAGGCGGGGCGGCCAGGGGGCGGTGAGCCGGGCTCCCTGGGGGAGGCACCGGAAGGCGCCCAGCGCTGATTCACTGCAATAAATTGTTCCCGTCGCGGCGAGGCTTGGTCATCGCCGCTTGAGCCGGAGCTGCAGCAGGAGCCGGAGAGGAGCCTGAGCCACCGGAGCGAGAGGATGAAGATGCAAGCCGAGGTGATCCGCGAGGGCGAGCTGGAGAAGCGGAGCGACAGCCTTTTCCAGTTGTGGAAGAAGAAGCTGGTGGTGCTAACCAAGGACAGCCTCAGCCTCTTCCCCGACGGACACAAGCGGGCCAAGGGCAAGGAGCTGGGCTTCGGCTCCATCCTCAAGGTGGACTGCGTGGAGCGCACGGGCAAGTACATCTACTTCACCATCGTTACTAAGGACCGCAAGGAGATTGACTTTCGGTGCCCGGACCAAAGCTGCTGGAACGCCTCAATCACCATGGCCCTCATCGACTTCCAGAACAAGCGGGCCATCCAGGACTTCAAGAGCCGCCAGGAGATGGAGCAGGCGGCGGGTGCCCAGGAACGGCGGCTGGCCCGGGCGCCCTGAGCCGCCGCCGCCCGCCCCGGCCGGCCCGGCCCCGAGGTGAGCCCCAGCGCGGTGCTGCCGCTCTCCTCGTTTGATTTATTTGTTAAATGAATTGCTGCCCCATCCCCTTCACACACCTGCTCCGGCCGTGGGGACTTCATTCCGCCCGCACCGCTCACCTCATCTTCGAGCCGGAGCTGCCGCCGACCCGCGGAGGTGCCCTGCCTCACTCCGAAACCGGGCCGTGCTGCCTGGCTGCGGGGCTTGCTCACATCCCACTCCCGATGCATTGCTGGGAATTTCTGGTGGGAGCTGGCCTCATGCGGGGCACTGAGAAGTACGGCTATGGGGATGGTGGGGGGTAAGAAATGGCAGCTGGCAGTGCTTTCCTGGCAGAATTACCTAAAAATACGGTATCTGCAAAAGTTAATGCTGACCACTTACTCTTCCTTTAAAGCCCCTCTTCTTTGTGGTTGTTTTTTTTTTTTTTTTTTTTTTTATCCTGTCTGTTTAACTAACCTGCTTTCTCTTGTTGCCTTTAGAGCATACCACTGGATGATAAACCAGATCAAGTGTCTTGGACTGAAATGGGACAGGGTACCAATGAAGGAAAGCGAAGAAGTGAGCTGGAAGCAGCTTGGTTTTCTCCAAGCCTGTTGAGGCTGCCGAGCAAAGAGCCCTGAGCTTTGCCCGAGATGCATTTAAAGAAAAACCAAAGACTTTCATAAAGGACTTCTAGCAAAGTGTCCACGTGTTTTAAGTGGCACGACTTTGTGAACGATTATCTTCTATTTATGAGACATGAGGAAGATTCAACACTGACTGATGGTGTTAAACGCAATTTAAATTATTTGTAGTATCTATATTTGTATTTATTTTGAAGAATGTATTTCAGCAGTTACTGGTCTTAATATTGCTTTTGCATTAATATGTCCATTCTGAATAAATTACTTGAAATGTTCACTTTTTATTACTGTACTCTGGGCTGTAGTAACTTTTGTTGATGTATATTTATTTGTGGAGTGGACAGTGGTGTGGTGGCTTTAAAAGAGTGGGTAAGCTCAGCTTCTTGGTGCCCTGGACTGGGCAGTGGGAGGTGGAGAAAGCCCAGATAGCCTATTTGCGTTTGACCTCATAAAACCTTGAGCAGGGACAGAAAGTGTGTTGAGGTCCGATTCTGGTCAGTGGTGGAAATAAGAAAGCTTACCACAGCTTGGGTAAGTGCTCCTTTCGAAGTGCTTTCCCATATAATTGGGTAATGGTGGCTAGAGAAGGTGCAAGAACTCCCTGCAACAGTAAAATGCTGCTCTTTCCTAATGCCCTCTGTCCTTCCCCTGGCCCCTGTAGCTTAGTGCTGTGCTAAGGCAGGAAACTGGATTCTTTATTTTGGAATAACACTGCTGACAATCTATGGGATTCCTTAGCTTAGCAGCAAAGCAAGCTGAATGCCTTGCTCTGTCCTCTTCCTCTACCTCTTCAGTCTTTAGATTGAGTTAAATTTCTACAGGATGACTGGGAAGAATGGAGGTGATGGTCTTTTTTTTTTCCTATAGCACCTGGACCAAGAAGCTTGGAGGAAAAAAAAAAAAGCAGCTAATTTTCTGGATAAAAGCACTGAAGTTTTATCTTGTGAGGCTCAACTATTACTAAGTAACCTGGGCTTCCTTGGGAGCAACACTGCAGCACATGACTCTGCTCTTGCAGTAAGGACTACAAGCTTAGCAGGCAAAGTACTTGCTGCTAATGCTCCAAATTTGGTAGTCTCAGTCAGGTAATTTCCCCCTCCCAAGATCAGTACAATTCTTGCAGGAGACTTTGTACTGGAGGAAGTTGCAAAGTCTGTAATTACAAACAGCCTGTAGTAAGAGCAAAGGAGACTCAGTATAGGTAACAAGGAAAAAAAACCTAGAAGGAGGGTTGGCTTCCGTTTCCGGAAGCAGCAGAGAGACTGGCACTGTAGCATGCTCCATCAGGGCTTTGCATCTCCTTGCATACCCTGCTGGGCTCCTGCAGAGGCAGGGTTGCACATGATTGAGCTGTGGATGTAGCAAATCATTGCCCACAGCATTTGAAAACCTTTGGCCTTGATCCCCTCTAGCACTAGAATGCCAGATGTGCATTTAATGCAGCAAAATGACACTCAAACGGAGATGTATTATACTCCTGACTTTCCTTGGTACCATTGCAGGGGGTGAAATAGAAGGCCAAACCAGAGCAGAGGCACTGGCTCCTAATCCCCTTAGTTTCTGTGAATCCAAGCAGGAATGCTGACTGACAACAGCTTAGGATCTAGAGCTATTGACTGCAATGATGGCCACTGAGGGAGGAACCTGATAGCTCCCAAGGTCCCATGGCTACCAGTTACTCCAGCATGGCTTTAAGGCCTTCTCAAACCCATCTGTCCCTTACTCTAAAAGCAAATGCTGATGAAATGAAGGTATTGTTCAAGTGAGTTTATTCCAGGTATGTGGAATCAAAAATAAAACTCAAGACATCTTTATTTCTGTGGAAAAAGGGAGTTACTTTTCTGCAATTGTGTTATTGGTTTTTCATCTCTGCCAGTGGGATATTACTCTTCAAGAGGTAAACAAATAAACCTATATTAACAATTAGCTGTAAATAGCCAAAGGAGGAGACGCCAAAATGTTTGTATAAAACTCCACCGATGGTTGGGCCCACTGTCCTGGTCAAGGGTTGCACTGAGGCACAAATCCCAAGCATGGTACCTAGGAGAGATGGCAGAGACACACAGATGTTAGGGTGAGAGCAAGTCTTGGGATGGAGAAGTGGAGAAGAGCGTGCAGGATCCCCTTCATCCCTGATGGTGCTCTCCTGCAGTAGTAGCGAATCTTACATTAATTTACAGAGGTCCAATTGGGTTTGTTAAGGCTAAGGATTCCAGGAGGCATGGGGACTAGTTTCCACCATGAGCCAGGTCAGCTCCTTACTGAGCATTCCAGACAACTGTAACACTGCCCAAAAGGCAAGCCAGTACTTACTGCTGCCTTCACCAGGACCCAAGGATGCCTTTAGCTCCAGAAGATGCTTTTGAACCTTGCACCCAGCAGGACTGGTAACTACTGCATAGGTTTAGGGATGGACAGGTAATTTCTAGGGTTGTGGTTGAGACTTCCAAGCAAATCACACAGATTCTTCCAGTAGCCTAATACCCTAGAGCGCCCTGTTCTGCCCAAGCTGCTATTGCCAGTTATTCTCTAGTGTAAGACAGAACAGCTCTTGAGGGCTTAGCAGTTGTGAGAAGCTTAGGTCTAACTAGGTATTTAAGAATAAATAAATAAAACCACAGATAAAGACTGAAACCCCCCTTGAAATACTCCTCCTCCCCCCCAGCTTTGCAAAAAGAACGGATATTTCCATTTGGATGGAAATGCGAGCCCTTCGTCTGGCTGGTCTGGTTCCCCCTTCTTGCAGCTCTCCATTTGCATCCTTAACAGGAACCCAGTTGATGGGGAAGCACCTCTAGTTTGCCAAAGGAAGGTTTTTTTCCACACACAGACAGATGGCCAGGTCATCCCATGGAACGCAAAACTGGCCCCCACACACTCAGTGTGGTCTTCACCATGCAGTCTTCATGCAGGACACCTATCACAGTCAGGGGAGCAGAAAATACCCAACCAGCCAGAAAATCATTAGTCCCCAGCACCAGGAGGAAGGGCAAGTTGTCAGCATATGCAAGGAACTTGTGCCCTGCTCTGAAACTATGTTTGCAATTATATTTTTTTAATATCAGTACAATTATTTAGACTGTTAGCATCAGTTTTCCACCAAGACATGCATTGAGGCTTTGCTGCCGCACAAGGCCAGCAGCATCTGGGAAGGATGAGGAGGATGCTGTCCTGCGTGTGAGAAGATGTGGAGTCAAGTGTGATATTTAATGTGGGTAGCCACAGGGAAATGATCACCAGCTCTGAGAGAGAAAAGGCAGCCAGGTGCTCGTGTAGTACCGGCCAGCGACTGCTGGGCTTTTATCAGCATGCTTAAAATATTTGTGCAATGAGCCTGAGCCAAGGGTGTAGCTGCGCGGAGAGGGAAATCTCCCGGGAAGCGCTGCAGAGCGCTCCTCCCGCGCATGGGAACACAAAGGCAATGGGTGGGACCTCGCCTTGACCCTTTGCCAATGGGAACCATCCCACAACCACCAAACTTTCTGGGCAGGTTTTGCAATTATTTTTCCCCCTCTAGCTATCTGAATTAAACTAATTACTACATACGATTGCCAAACTGGCTCTTATGATTGAGGAGTCTTTTTTCCCCTTTCCATTTTTTTTTTTTCTGGAGCAGAAATCTGTCTTCTTAAAAGGTTGGGCCCTCCCTCTGGACTTCTCCAACATGTTGCTGAGAAAGATAATTTCTGTTTAATGGGCTTAAATTAGATCCCTCGTGTCAGATGCCCTCGAGCTTTGGGACATTGTAAATCTCAGCTCTGCAGCGTGGCCCTAGCTCTGTTGCAAAGATGCAGGTGTTATGGATCTCATTTAAGGCAAGACCTTTAACTGGGACAAGTCACCACGTCAGCAGAAAAGTTCCTGTGTTTTGTACAGCTCTGCCAATGCACATGCTCACCTTCTTTCTCATGACTATCCCACTTTCTGCACCTTCCGTGCCCCTTTTTCTTTCTCCCCAGCTTTTTCCTCCCCTTTTCCCATACCTGGCATGACTCATACCGGCTGGGAGCCCATCCTCCCCTCCTGCCCCAGCCCTCCTCTCCTCCCGAAGGTTTCAGGGTTGGGTGCTGGCGGCTCCTGAAGCCGGGCGGCTCCGTCCCTCCTCCCACCCTCTGCTATGCTGGGTGCCCTGGCTCACCCTCCTTTCCAGCTCACATCCTGTTGCCACGCTTAGATGATGGTGCTGGCCCAGATCAGCCACATGCCTGCGGGGCAGTCACAGGGCCTAATTTAAGGATTAGGTCATCTCTACCAGTAGCCACCTTCGAACCAGCAAAGCCCAAGCAAAGCTGGGGGTTTCAGTGTGCTGAGCCGTGCCTGGCTGCAAGCTCTCCCCCTAAGGTTTTGCATCTGATGTGCAAATAAATCATGAAACATGGGCCCCATCATGCAGGGAGGCTCTGCTGGGCTTCCTCCCTCCCCCGAGGGTGGGGGAGTCTGTGCAGAAACAAGACCTCCATTCTTGGGGAGGGACTGGGGTTGACAAGGGGTGCTTGTGCAGACGCAAGCCCCCCTGGGTTCAGGGCTGCCATCCCACCAGCTCACATGCCCAGCTGAACAACACGTGTGTGTGGGGCATAATGTTCCCTTCCTGCCTTTGAAGATGAGGAGAGGGGAAAAAAATAATATCAAAGGGAAATGAATGAAATCATTTTCGCTATCTTTGCTTCAATGCAAAGCCCCAGCCATAGGCAAAGAGTAAGTGGCAAACTCATCAGCATTGATAGGAAGTGACCTTGGATCAGACCTAAAAGCAGGATGGTGGAAGCGAGGGATGGTGCCATCCTGCATCCCAGTGTTGCCTTTCTGAGACACCTATTTAAAAGGCCAGGGTGGGTGACTCAGTGTCTAGCAAGGACGGACAGGTTATCCTTCTGCAATGCCCCATCCGCTCCAGCCTTGTGATGAGGTGGACAACTGAGCTCAGCCTCAGAAAGCCTCACCCTGGCCCAAAGAAAAATCTTTAGAAGCTCTACCAGTCCAAGGCTATCAAAAACATCAGGAAAAGACAGGAGAAAGTCTCAAAAGTGATGTTTCCAAAGGCAAATTCTCAACTTGGATTTCCTTGCTTTAACTAGAAGTTGTTGCAAGCTAGCATTCAGGTTTTTGATGCTGCGACAGTGAGGCTTTTTCATAAATCCATATTTCCAAGCTGTTAGAAAAGCAGGGATTTCTAATGCGCCACCAAAATGCTCACTGTGCAGAGCCGGTCGCGGGCTCGCATAGGCAGGAACAGCCTTTCAGCTGCTGCATGGGTGGAGCAGGCGTTGTGGGGTGTCACCCACAGCCAGAGGAGGGATAGCAAGCATTTTAATAGCTGCATTTCACTGCAGGACACCCACACTGTCACTGCCGCAGCTGCTGCGGAGAGGCAGCTCACAGCTCTGCTGCGTCAGGCATTCCTGCCTTCACCCTGGCCCCTGCCCCGGTGTGTCCAGAACAAGCACAAAACCATCCTACGCCGCTTCCCTCAGAAATGCTGCAAGATGAAAGCACAGTTTGAAAGGTGAAGGTCAGGGAGGAGTGTCAGAGACAAGGTTTTCCCCCAGCAGCATCCCTCCTCAGCATGCCCAGTTTCAAGCCAGCTGTAACTGGAATTTGTAGTACCACGTGGCATGGCATCAGCCCAGGAAGGACAGTCAGAAAAAAGTGCTGGATAGCTCTCCCAGTGCCCTGCAATCCCCTCTCAACCATCTGCACCACCCCTTGGGATGCCTCCATCCTGCCATGCCATCCTGCCATGCAGACGCTCCATCCCACCAAGATGCAGGCTGACCTGACAACATAAGAAAGTAGGGAGCAGGGTGAGTCAACTAAGCCCATTTCCCTCTCTGACCAAAGCTTGCCTTCAGGCCTTTGGGCTTTAAAAGCCAAGCAGTGCTCCAGTTTTCCTCACAAAGCCCCTTTGAGAAGAGCCTGGATGAATTCCAGTTTGGCTCTACATCCCAAAGCCATTTGGTGCCCTTCCCCCTTGGCTGTCCCTCCTCACATGAACATTGCTCCAACTCATGAAACAGCATATTTTCTTCCTGGCCAAGTGGAGGGCCTGAGATGCCCCCAGTCCACACATCTCTGGGAGCTAAGTGGTCCTCCCAGGTAGAAATATTGCACTTGGAAATCACAGGCTCCCAGCATTTGTAGGAGATGCGGTGGTCAGCTCTACAAATAAACTACTGAAGTGACATTCAGAAAAGCTCTTCATCCAAAAACATCTCAAAATTGCTTTATAAACTTTGCACTAATGGGCTGTGCAAACTATAACTTCCATTCTTGATCGGGTCTGTGCAGAAGCATTTGCTTAGACAGCTGCTGAGGAAGATGAAGGGTGCAGGCCTAGCATCCTAGAAAAGCCCAGCTAAAGCAAAGAGACTTGGGTACCTGGTGAATGCAACTCTGTGAGAAAACACTGAAACAGCCTGAGCAAAAGACATCAAACCAGGTTAACCAAGCTCCATCCTGGGACAAACTCAGCAAGGCTCTCATGACAATAATATAGGCATATTTCCTTCACTGTCAGAACTAAAAACACAGGTATGAAGATTTGTGTGTCTACCACTGCATTTCAGCCTGCTTGTACAGGTAAATACAGTAACTCTGACTGAAAGATGGCCAAAATGTAGAAGAGGGGGCAATTACTGCATTGGGCAAAGCATGTTTCCAAAGGGCAATCAAGAATACCTTCTGGAGACACCCTAAATTAAAAGGTGTGAACAAGCAGCCCTCTCAGGCATCCTCATAGCTTTTTTTTTTTGTTTTTTTTTTTTGTTTTTTTTTTTTTGTTTGTTTGTTTTTTGTTTGTTTTTGTTTTTTTTTTCTAACATACCTTGGCTTCCCATGGAGAGCAGAATTTGGGTGGGAAAGCCTTCCTTTACAACACCTACCTCTATGGATGTCAGCAGGCAGCACAGGACCAGGAGCACTGGGGTGCGATGTTGTTCAAGCTCATCCTGTATTAACACCAGTGGTCCCCATTCAGCTGCTCTGCTGACACCCAGTGCATACAACTGCCAAGCCAGATCTGCTGGGGAATTAGGCATTGGTCATGAATGTGCCCTAGCGCTTGATATTGGTAGTGTGAGCTAGGAAGCATCTGATGGACTCAAAAAACAAGAAAAGACCGGTCTGATTATTTTGGATTAGCCTTACCAGTATCAGAGGAGGGGACAGCCTTGGTGAGGATGCTGTCGGTGATGGTGCCCAGCGTGCTGAAGGCAAACACCAGTGGCACCGCAATGATGCAGTAGTGCCACACAGTCCTCATCAGGGCCTAAGGGACAGGACACAATGGACCAAGGATCATTAGAGAGAACAAGTGTTGACTTTGTGGCAAGAAACAACCTAGACAAACATAAGGAGTCAAACCCATGATTTACTTAGGTAAATTGTGGGAGCCACAAGTGATACATGATGGCGTGGCTTTGGCTGTTGCAGGGTCTTTCATAGCCCACCATTTGTCTGCAGTGAAGTATTCCAAGCATGCGGAGCAAGTAGCAGATGATACCCTACAATCTGGCAGCACGTTTCTCTGGCACTGCTGTGGGTATTTTTAGCATCTGGGAATTAGTGACGTCCCTTTGCCCTTCCCCCCATCTTCCGTCTCTTGTCCAACTCCTGAGGAAATGCTGAATAGCAGATGCATGTGGTGTACTTCAGGAAGCCTCCATTACTTACACAAAACAGCCTAGAGAAGGCATTTCAGTTCATTATCATAAATAATTAAAACTAAACTGAGTTTGTCAAAATAAATGAGTGCTGTGCATTATGTAACATCGTACCTTTGGGATTTCTAATCCTGTTCTGCTGCTTTCTCTCTAATAAATTCACCAAATTCACTAATCTGGAATAGGTCTCCTGGCCATAAGTGCACATTAGCAAGCATAATTAGGTAGAGTAATGATTTTGTTATTGCACATATTCTCAGTGGAGACATCCCTCCAGCTGGTCTAATACTGAAACAAAAGTGCTGAGGCTCCCTTAAGCCGTGGGGCTAGAGTGGCTCATTCACAAATCCTGCTGGTCAAATGAATGGATTTCTCTGGGGCATGGAAAGGAAATTCCCCCTTTCTTGCAAGTCTCCTGCCCTCACCTGTGTCTCAAGGTGTGTTATTGTGGCTGCAAAACATTTTTGTCACTGGTTTAGCCAGAAGTTTCCTTTTCTGGAGTTCTCTCTCTCAAGATCTGGTCCCTGCCTCTTGGCTATAGAAGATGGAGAAGCCCAGAGACATTGTTCGTTAATGACTTGGAAATACTGAGGTTTATTCCTAGCTCCCCTCCAGACTCGCACACAGCCAGATTTCTCTCCTTGGAGGGGCTGTTTGCCTACATTTTGGTTAAGATCTAGGCACCTCTGATTAAGGAACCAGAGAACAAAGACAGAGGAACAGGTATTTGGTTTATCAACATTCAGACACAGAGAAAATAACTCCTTGCTAGGGCAAATGTCATTGCAGGACAACATTGCAGAGCTCAGAAAAAAAACCAAAACAGCTTTAACCCAATCCTGCTTTGTATGAATTCCCTCATAGGCTGAAGCAAGTGGGCAGAAAAGACCAGAGCAAGGTCTGTCCTTCTGTAAAACCAGGGGAAATTGCTCTTTGCCCCCCTGGGACTTGGAAAGATCTGAGCCAGGCAGACCCCAGTCTCTTCTGCTCCTCAGCCGCTGAGTAGGTAGCACTCTTTTTGCCCTGAACAGATCTGAAGGCATTTTTCAGGGGAGGGAGGCAGGATCAGGAGTTTCAGCAGACAGACCCAGAAAGTACATGCCTGGGAAATGCGGGCAGCGAAGCAGGATGAGGCACAGCTATACCTTCACACAAAGAGAAGAACTTCCCTGTCACAAGAGCCAAGTCCTCCTACACCCCTGCCCACATGCTCCTGGATTGCATCTGCGGATCAGACACTGCTCTCTGGGGCTCTCTGAGGCTCTCCCCTTCTCGCTTTTTCCAGGTGTTACTGTATTGCCGAGCTCCCAGCCCACCCCTTCCCTTCTCCAGCTGTAGATTGCTGGGAACATCCTGCAGTCTTTTCCCACCTGGACTGCTGTCTGTCTGTCTACTGCCACTGGTGCCAGTATCCCATAAACCCTTTAGCCCACCTTTCAGTGATATGAAGATGGGTTTCAGAGTGTCTTTTATTAACAGCTAGGCCTTTTCCTCACTTCCGTCCTTTGGGGAGAGGATCTGCTTTGTTTGAAGTCCATGTACAGCAAAGGCACAGCAGGCGGGATGCTTCTCTACCAGCAGTTGTGTGGGATTAAAAGCTTAACACATCAGCCTCTGCATTTGGGGCCTGCTGCTGTGACGGTACTCATCCCCACTGAGACGGAAAGCCACCCTACAAATGGATGTTTTCTTAGCAGCCGCTTGAACAGAGTGCTTTTTAATAAAGCATCCCCGCCAAAGAGAATCACAGCTGCATTTGCCTATGAATAGTTCTTGTGGGAAGTCATTGCTGACCCTTGTCCCCAGGCCTGTGATGTCAGGCTGTCCACAGCCTTCTGTGCTCAGCATAATTGCCAACTTTAAAACTATTTCCTTTCCTGGCTCCCCTCCCTGTGCAGCTGATGTCAGCCTCCTCGCACTGGGGCATTAGCCACCCTGTGTGCCACTCCACTGCTATCAAGGTTTACTTTCCTACCTCCAATTAACTCCAGCCTTCCCTCTCGGTGAGACCTCAACACCCTTCCTGCACTATGTTCAGGAGCACCAAGCACTGCACAGATGTCCCATGCTAAGGTGACATGTCAATACCAACCAAAACTGTGTGACACCAGTCAGGAGGGACACGTTCTGAGTGTCCTACCTGCTGGCAGCATCTCTGTGAGCTCTGAAATCCCAGAGAGGTGACTGCGCTCCACCTGCAGAGCAATCCCTTCGTCTGCATCCATCCTGCCTTCCCAGCCTCATCTCACACATGCGGTTTAGCCTCAGATTAATTAAGGTGCATAGGTGCTTCATCTCATCTATCTAGCTGGGAACCATGAAGTTCAATACCCTCCAGGTCTTGTCCCTGACTTCCCTATGGCTGTGGCACAGCTGTGGGAATGGCATCCATCTTACCCACGCCAGTGAGAGCACCAGTGCCCTAGCAGCAAGGCTCAAGGCCAAATCCTGCAGGGAATGTCTAAAGGCTGACGCAGCTCAACCATCCTTTTGACCCATCTCACTGCTGGGAACCAGCGCACACCTTTCCTCCATTGCCATGGCTGGGCAGAGCTATCGATTCTCTGAATGTGACTTATCTGAGCAAACACAACTACTGGCAGAGCTACCTACATAAACTCGTTTTTCCAATTACCAGTTGAGATTGGCATCAACTATTGCCTATGCAGACACAACCAGTGACAGGTAACATCACTTACCTCAAAACAGAGGATCAAAATTATTGCCTTGCTACCTCCTTTCCCAAATACTCTCAGCCTGGGGGAGTTAGGCAAAAATAAGGCCCCAGAAGTAAAACACACAACCTCCGTTGTCTCACAGCAGCATACAACCGCAATGATTTCCCGGCCGACCCCTCCCCCCCCCCCATCTTAGTTTACTTTCTGTGTAGTTCAGGAAACGCAGCTGCTGACAAGACCAGGGGCAGTATCTCTATGCAAAGCAGTGACTCAGGAGGGACTTAACAAGTTTTTGTGTGAGATTAATAATTTTTTTAACCCCCATAACTATTACTTACGTGGCTCTTTATTGTTCTTTTGAGTGGTGCATATGCTGATCACGGCTCTGTTTACACAGAGGTCCAGGGGAGCTGGTTTTCACCTGAGGACCACCCAGCAAGGCCAGTGGTGGCATTTCAAGGGGCAGAACTTGCAGCCAGGTCTCATGGACCTTGTGCCACTGCATTACTAAAAAGCATCATGGATGATTTCACACTCAGCCTTACCATGCCAAGGCCCACGACAGCAAAGACGAAGACACTGAGCTTGAGCAGGGTCATCTCTGTGCAGCGGCTAGTGAGTTTTCCAATGACCAGACCCTGGACAACCTGGGAAAGAAGCACACGAGCACCATAAAGCCCAACATATAACAATTCAAACAAACTCAAAAGAGAACTGCTACAGTGCTTTAAGCAAAAGAAAGCTGGCAAATGGGTTATTCCCAGGGACCTGGCTGTCACGGTAAGTGGCTGGAAGATACAATCCATTATTTCAAGCATTTTGCATCCTAGGAGTAGATCCATCCCATCAGCTTAAAGTCCAGGGTGCATGTCTGAGTTTGCCATCGCTGCCTGTTCACCAGAGCTGACTGAAACTTTCTAGACACTTGCAGATACAAATGAATTTTTCTAAGTCACAATATTTTTGTGGAATACAGTTAACACCAAGGTCTTCATCCTTGGCAAGTCCTTCCAAAGAAAAAAATGTAAATTTGTATGCAGAGAAAGAAAACGCCTCCTTTCCTGTACATTCACTTGCCGTTATTTTAAACTGCAAGTACACAAATTGGGTGGTTCATAATTTTGTGGCAGGAAACGAGTATGACAGAGATGCTAATACCCAGTCCCAGCAGTATGTGCAGATATAAGGGACGGGGAACGAGTTTTACAGATTTTAAATAAAAAATGGGGCAAAGGGGGAGGGAAGGAGGAGCAAAAAAGTTTAAATCCCAGGAATTATTTGGCTTTTCCAGCATGTTGCCAAGCAGAGATTCCTTTTTTATTTCTTTGTTCAGCATCTCCCATATTTCAGTGATGCTGTCCTCTCATAGTCAAGTGGACTTGAGAGGACAGAGATCACTGTGAAAATGAAGCCTGATTGGCTGCATTTCAGGGGAAGAACCTAGCCCTGTCTTGAAAGAGTTTGTCTGATCCAAGCAAAAACCCCTCCGACTTGAAAGAAGAGCTCTAGTTCAAAATGCTTTCATTGGTGGGATGGTTTCGTTTCAATGGCAGTCCATCCTGGAGAAAACCTTGGTGCTCTGCTTGGACCTGAAATGATGCTACACCATGCTCAACCTTACTGTGCCAGTCCTAAGGGTGAAACCCAAACTCAACTGAAAGGAGTGCAAAATAAATAAGAAGTTACTAAAAAGAAAGGAAACATTAATCTATGACAAGCAGTCCAGAAAAAGCAATTTACTAAAATTTAAAAAAAAGTAAAGAGTAAATGGAAATAGAGTGAAAATAAAGCTGACATAGAGAACAATAGCTGCAAATTCAATATATTTCCAACAGACTACAATTTAATGGAAAATATCAAAATTTGACCCTTCACTTCGCTTCAGAGCACAACTGATTTTTGATACAAGGGCACACTGCACCAAGCAGACATTTTGGTTCCCAGTAAATGCATTTCCTGCTGCTTTTCTGGCCCCATCCCCACCTTCAGGCAGGGCTTGAGAGCTCAGCTCACGTGTGCTTCGCCACCCTGCGACATTGGCACAGGGCCCGTATGTCTCTTCGGGGTTGTGTCACATGCCAAGTGGCCTTGGGGACACTGGCAGACCTGCTGTGGTGTGGTGGTTGGGTGATGCATGGGGTGACACGAGTCATCCCTGCTGAAAGCTTTGCCATGAAGACCAGAGAAGGCTGATACCGGCCCCAGCAGCTCCTACTCGGGGGTGGGTGGAGAAGCCACTGAGTAACGCTTCATTAAGCTCAGTGCTCCTAAAAAAAGGAATCATCATTAACTTTTTGCAACTTCCCAGTCCCTCCTGCTGCCTTGCCCCAGTCAAGGCTGTGCTGAGTCACATGGGATGGGGGCTGAGCCCTGTCACAGGGCAAGGCTTGACTCAGCGGTGGCATCACCCGAACCTCAGTTTGACTGCTGAGCTACTGGAGAAAGGAAATGTTTCTCAATTTGCCCAGACTTGAATAGTATATTTAATTGGGACACACCATGCAGGCACAGCCCAGTCCCTGCCCTTCCTTGAGTCACTGGGTATATCATTAGCAATGTCCCAGAGCAGCCCAGTCTGATGGCCATGGGAGCGGTGTACCCAAAAACATCTCCGTCACTACACGTGAACACCTAAGCCCTGGCAACAAGCAAGACTGCAGCAAAGCTAGGCTCTGAGCTGTCAGGACCTGGAGACATGTAGACCACCAAGCTGTCCCCAGAGTGAGCAGGGCAGAGGGACAGTCTTTTTTCCAAGGCTGGCTTTCAAGCACAGGCTTCCCCATCACTGCTGAGCAAACCAGCTCAGTGATGGGACTTTTTCCAAAGGCAAGTGTCAGCCCAAGTCACCTGCTTTCCCTCTGGGGAAACAGCCATCCTTGGGTTATAAAGATTGCAGCCTCCCTTCTAGTTATATGGGTTGCCTGACTCCCTCCCCAGCATGGTCACTGCCAATCCAGCCATGAGCTTGAGTTTGGACACTGCATTTTGACTTTGGCACTGGATAATGTTTCCAGTCACCAGAATGTCTGACCTCACTTCCAGTCTGAATTTAGACCTGAAAACCCATTATTTCCAGCCTGCAATTTTCCCTGGGTGCACAGTCCCTGGGTTTGCATGAGCAGAAGCCACCTGCACAGGTACATTTAGGAAGGAGGAAGCAAAAGGTAGTTCATGCGCATTCTCCCATGTAAGGTTTTCAATCTGACAGGGATTTTGCCAGGGAGTAGTGGGGGCATCTGAGATGACTTATCCACCACTGCTCCCATGGACAAGCCCTGGTTGCACTGATGATGCAGGGATTCATCCTTTTTTTAATTACTGCTCCTGCATTCTAGGCTTGCACTTAAGCCCCCCTTGAGATTGACTTGTGATGGGCTTTCCCCTCCTGCATTTCATTTTGCTTGGACTGTGCTTGCCTTTGTAACTTGAGCTCCTTTGAAGTCGTGGTACAGTGTACCTGGCTGGAATGCCTTCTGTCATCAATAAACAAAAGAGAGAGGAAATTGTTTGCAAGTGAAATAACAGGCACTGCCTGTGGCTGTGTACACATGTCACAGGAAAAACCAACTCGTCTTTTTTAATTCCCCCCCTCCTTCTTTAAAGGCAAATAAGTCTCCCAATAAATGCATAGGAACAGCCAAATCTCCTTGTTGTTATGCTGGATTCACCAACCTGGGAGCTCATTACACTAGTTCACCTGATCATGTATAAAAATACTCTTTACCTCTATCACCACATTTGATTTCTGTGAAGACAGCAGCTCCAGTTTGCCCAGAAGAGCCAATTATCCACTTTATTGTTAACCTCATTAACAAATTTCAGGAATCCCTTGCAGGATGGAAAAGGCTGTTGCTGTTTGAAGGCTTAAGGTGCTAGTTTTTGGAAGACTTTTGAACAGTGAAGTCTTGCTGCACGGAGCTACTGCTGAGCAGGACTGGCACCCACATGTAGCTAACCTCACCAGTGGGGGTTAGAGGAGTTAGGCAGATGATTGCATGGTCCTGTGTGCTCAGCAGGCACAAGACTGTTTCTACAGATTCTTCCATCAGCACTGATCAAAAGCTTGACAGAAACCAGCAATAAAATAGATACCCTTTCACCCTACATTTTGGAAACGAAAAGACATGCAAAGGTTGGAGAAGCAGGTGCAGATAAGCTGGTACAGCCAAGCAGAGAAGATGCAGGGCCCCATCCCTAGCGCAGATAGCATGATTCACATCAGAGGCAGCCTCCCACACAGTGGACCTGTATCTCTTGCCTTTGAAACTGTGCCTGTCTAGCAGTTCACAGGCCGAGCGCAGTGCTGGCTGGGCTGGGACGCGCGGGTGGGCACCAGTGGGGCAGACCACAGTGGGCACCAGAAATCATAAGGCTTTTCTACACAGGTTGAAGACTGTGCAAAACTGTGGGAGGGTAAAGGGAGGTAATTTACTGACACAGGGATGCCAGAAAGCGCTTGAGAAGTAGTTCAGGTCTTGCAGAGGAGCAGAAGGGCAGTGGGACTGGGAGGAAAGCTGACGGTGAGGACCAAACTGCTGAAGGCAGCACTTTGCTGAGCAGGGGGAAGAGGATGGTATGTTTTGCAAACTCCAGCCTAACCACTTTCTTTCCCCCTCCAACCCACCCCCTTCCACAGATTTAAATCCTTCAAAGCCAGGAAAGTGGAGAACTTTCTGTTTGTTGTTGCAAGGTCCTTTCACAGAGTGGGTTTTCCCCCTAGTCATACCTGGATGTAATTAAATCCTCGGCTCTTTAATCATCTCTTTTGCTGTGCAGGGATAAGAAAAAAAGCAAGAGGGACAGACTGGTGATAAGATGATATGCAATGTAAATCTCTCCTCCAGGAATCTCTCTCATCTTTTCAGGATCACTTTGTACCAACTTGTCCCTCCAGAAGCTGCACAGCTAGAGGTGGAGTTTGTATAACAATACAAATTTAAATGCAGTAAATAGAACAGATGTCTTATGATTTCTTGATCCTCAGGGTTATAAATATCTACCCCTTCGTCCCACCCAGAGTTTTTGTTTTGTGCATTTTGCTTTGTTTTTTTTTTTGTGAGAAAAAGTTCTTAAAGGAAAGCTTTCTCCACCCCCTCACTCATCTAAGCATCAGATGTGATTTTAGATACCAACCAGGGACTCCAGGTATTTCACTTGCCTAATCCTCTGGCAGCATTTTCCAAGCCAGATACTACACCTGGAAGTTCTCCATGCAATTGCACTTGCAACTCCTGAAAAGAAAAGCCAGAGCCTAGCCTGTTTCTGCCCATTATGCAGTTAAATTATTTTAAGTTATTATGAAATTAGTTATTCTCTGGAGGGAGACTGAGTGGCATTTCACACCGCCAGGCATTCACTATGAGGGCAATTTCATTCACACGGCTTCTGAAATGAGAGGACTCTAGAAGCCCAGCCCCAGAGGACAGAGGGATTGCGTCCCTGATGGGCTCTCACACTTCTTGCCTGGAGACCCACCAGCAATCAGATAAAGATGCTTCAAACATGCAATGAGTAAGGGAATCTCTGCAGTGCAAGATGCCCAGTGCAGAAGTACTCCTCTCACTGTCTGCCTTCCCCACCTTGTTTTGTTATCTCCCACCCAACTCCTCCCCTTGACTTATGCTGGCACAGTCCCAGCTCATCAGACAGCCCCGTGCTAACGAGGGTGCTTCAAGTATTACTTCAGAGCCCCAGATTGTTTGAATTACCCTCCACTTGCTATTTTCACTTTCCCATCAGCCCATTCTAGTCTTAGAAATATTCCATTTTCTAAGCAACAACTTTGTTTCTTCATCAGACAGCTCTTTGTCACAGTGCTATGATACCGCCTTTCCTGCACACCCTTTGTGACCTCGTTTGGCTCTGTCCAGATCCAAAACTGAGCCCCTTTTCCACCTTCACTGCACTTAAGTCTGCTCCACACTTTTCAATATCCTCTGCTATTAGATGATTCTCTTTGCCTAACCACAAATGGTAAATTTGTGCCAGTTCCTGGGCCAGTGCTTCATCCAGAGAGCCAGGAAGCCCTTGTTCCCTATGGACAGGTACTACCACAGGAGCTTTTACAACAGTGCATCACCAGGTGTATTACTTTGGGCCACTCAGGTCTCCTTAAGACATACTGGGAGCAGCAGCAAGACAAACTATGTCCCTCCATGCCAAACAAGTGGCAGTCAGAAGATGTACCAGTAGGGTGAAGGGAGACCATGCTGTGGAAAGTCATCTTGGCAAAGGGAAGAGGGTACCAAGCATGCCCTGTGCCATGAGTGGTAGCCACTGGCAATACACAGCATTGCGAGCCACTACTAGCACCAGCTGAGCCACTTCACTGCTAGCAAGTGCCATGAACCATTCCAATATGGGCAGAGCTGATGCTTAACAAAGGGGGAACCAAGACAGGTGCTGTGGGGAATAGCCAGCCAAAACCTATGAGGTTGCCAGGCTCCAAAAGACAGCCTGAATTCATCTTCGAAACCTGTAAGAATCTTCTCAGGCATGGTACACCCCATAAACTTTGGAGTTCTGTGGATCATAAAGTAACAAGACAGGACTAAGCATGATGAAGTGAGGCTGAGGGGCTTTGGATGGGATCCCTCAGGAAGGCTGCCTGAATTAGCAGGGCGACTAACATCCTCCATCTGCAAATGTGGTAAATGCTTTGCCTCCTTCAGGGTTGGTGTTTCTGTGCTAATCTCCCCATGCAAAGAGCTGATTGAGTTTGTTTTGAGTTGCCTATTTAAAATGAGGTAGACTGACCCAGAGCCATTCAAAATCTCCTCTCTAGGTGCTTTGCAGCTATCTTGAATGGGATGAGTGGTGAGACAGAGATGTTTATAGTTCATTGGCCACTTCTCACCACAGTAAGTAAAATGAGGCTGAGAAGCTGAAAAATTAGGCTAAGTTATTGGAGGGCAATATCCTCTCGGTAGGAGAGGAAAGCGGGAAGAGACCATTGCTATTTGAGTCACCCTGGGAGTGCTGATCAGGCTGGGAAACAGGGCTACAACTTTACCTCTTGTGCAAGTGGAAGATGTTAGTTTTGAGATTTCATTAAAAAAATAGAAACTACAGTAACACACACACAAAAAAATATTAGTAAAATTTACCAGGAATTGGCAGAGCAGGCAATGCTTTTGTCAGCATAAGACCTCTGGGGAAGAGCTGAGTAACGGGCTCAGCTAAGTCTTGTTCGCTGTGCTGTTCCCTGTGTATCTCTGAAGCTGGTTAGTGCGTGTAAAGTGTGCTAGGAGTGAACGAGACCCTGGGATATGGTACTGGTTGTGCTGTGCAACCTCCCAGGCACTGTGTTTGATGTCTACAAGGAGGTTAAAAGTAAACGGGACAGGGTTCAATTCTTATTTTGCCCTTCATGTCTGTGATGTCAGCTCCCATCTATAAAAGTCCTTAAACTTGACCCATTTTCAGGTGCAGGGAGAGATGCAAATAGGGGAGATAGGTTTCCTCTAATAGTAGGGCTCAGAGAAAGTCCAGGAGAACGAGAAAACCCTCACAATGTTTTATTGACAGGCAAACAAAGGAATAAGAAATCAAAGCTGAGGATCTGGTTGATGAAATTCATTGAAAAGGACATTATATTCCTTATGAATAAAGCTATAATTTACTTAGTGGAGAAGCGAATCAGCAGATATTAATCAACTTTCACCCATCCAGACTGGTGGAATTTGCTTGCACCTTAATCTGCATTTATATCTCCAGCAGTATCAATTCACTATACAGCAGAAACAAATGCATCTGAAACACCCACTTAGGCATGAAGGCACACAAGCAGTTCTGTGGCTAGGCATGACAGCGCTAGCACACATTGCATTCCCTGCATACATCATACACTGGAGGAACCCCAACAGAAAGCAGCCATAAAACATTAGCCTAGTCACTGTTTGCAAGAGATATTTTTGGGTGGTTCTAGCCAGAGACCTGGCCTGAAAGTAAAGACATAAATTCTAACGTTTTACAATAATTGAAAAGCCAGATGGTGAGAATATTGTTTGCACCAGTTGAGGATCTGGTCCTGCATAAACCAGATCAGACCTTGGAACAGCCAATGATAAAGTGGAAAGAACAGGTGACAAAGCAGAAAGCAGTGCTTTGCAAGCTCTCAGGTGAGATGGCTTTACTGCCACCAGGAATTAGCAATTTTTCCCTTTCTTTTTTGGCATTGTGACTGCAAACCCCAATGCCCCATCATGAAGAGGAGAGGTTTGCATCTTATGACCACTTTACTCCTATGTTTCTGATGTCCAGAGTTTTGCACTGTAGAATATTAGTATCAACATGGACAGAAACTGCACAGACAGATGAAAGAAAACTGCCTGGCTGACAAAAACTAGTTTCTGTGTTAAATGCCCCGAGGCAGACTCCCCAGCAAGGCAGATGCTGCACCTGAGCCTGTAGGCCGCTTGTGGGTTAGATCATGGTAATAAGCATGATGGGCCTCTGTGCGATGAAACCTTCTGACTGTGGGAAGGATTGGGTCTCTGGTTAGCACTAACATCTGATTATTTGTTAGGGAGCACGGTGAATGTTATAATTCCCATATCTTCAAGGCTGTATCTGTTATGTTGGGTACACTGGCATGGCAGTGGAGGTAACCTTATCTATAGCAGTTTCAACCAAACTAACCTGGGAAACAACAGCTGTGAAGAGAGACAGATATCCCAGACATAACAGCAGTGTCCTAAAGACAGATATCCTGGATCCAATAGCAGTGTCCAAGCTCCACCTACTACTACACCTTCTACTATGCAAAGCCACTCCTGCTGCAGCTGTACAAGTGCTATTACTGCCCATGTTACCCAGCTTGAAACAAGCACACCATAGCCATGTGGCAAATCAGAATAGATTGTAAATATATGTAACAGGGATTTAACTGGTATGTCTAATTCAAGAGCATAGTTGCTGGGGAGCTCCTCTACATTCAAAGGGGGAAAAATATAACAGAAGGTGACTTGGCCCCTCTAAAACCTGAGTAATTCCTGTAGATTCTGGTCTAGGAGACAGCATGCAAAGGCTAACACAGGGAAAGCCTCTGTTAGCAGAGGCATTTGGGTTAGAAGCATACTTGGGAGAGCAGCTACTGATCACCCCAGTTGTCACGCTGTGTTCCGTGCTGTGTAACAGCAAACAGGGTTGTTTTCCAATGAGACTGGATGAGAGGATGTATCCACCTGGCAGCAGGTGTTGAACTCACAGGACCAAGAGACAGCTAGTCCAAAGCCACCCTCCCAGAACAGACATGGCAAAGGCACCAGCTCTTTAGCTCCAGCCAGTTTACTCTGTAGACTACACTTGCTGATGTACAGCCCTATTCATCAAGTACCCAGATTTGGTGAGACCAAGGCAACACCCTGCCAAATCCAAATCACATGGAAGTAAAGTTGCCATTTCCCAGATGAGAAGCTCCTCCACATTGCACAGGAACTCTGAACAATGTCCAGGAAATTAAGGCGGATTTAATAACAAGACCACCCTCCTTCAGGATATTGCTTAACTTGCATTCCTACCTTGAGGCTTACTTGTAACCATCTGTTGCTTTTTCTGTAAAATTATTAGCCTCTTCCTCCAAAAGGATCATTCTGCTATAACACAACATCTTTTGGTTTTGGCCCTACTACTGCCTAATTCAGCTGACCTTTCCCTTTCACCCATTTTGGTAGTCTCCATGTTCTTTTTCCTGCCTTTTTTAATTTTTCAGTAAAGTACAAGCTTGTTGTGCTTGTCTCCATGCAGCAGAAACGAGTCCTTCCTCTACACTGAAGGGATCTGTGAAAATGCCAGTAAGATCATCTACTTACATAAATTTACAGGGTGCTACTAGGTAAATGTAAATTAGCTAAGCTCCACCAGGAAAACCTTAGTCAAGGCACTTCAGCTTCAATGTAAGTTTTGTTACAAAAATCAGGACAATCTGTCAGTCCGGTGAAATTTTAGCTCCACAGCTTAAAGATCTGCAAGGAGAGACAGTGGCAAGAAAGCTTTCAGAACTCTCCTTGTCCTTATTTCTTCCCATTACAAGGAACAGAATAAACGTGGAGTCACTTCTGTTTTGGCAGCCAAGTACAGCACGCAGGATTTGACTGTCAATATTATACCTGGATTTGGAAGAACATATGTCAAAAAGGTAGTACTTTAGATAGTGGTGTGGCAAGAGGTGTACTTCCACTTCACTTACCATTTGAAGAACACCGAAGTATGACATCAGGTATCCAGACTCCACTGCTTCCAAGCCAAAAAAATCCATAGAGATGATTGAAAACATAATCAGGAACAAACCTAGAGGAGGGGTTAATGAAAGGCATACATAAATATTCTTGCACTGCATATAGTGGCCCAGACCCTGCTCCCAATCACCCCCAATATGAGTCAGTAGCTCTCCCTGGGATTGCCAGGACTGGATATAAACACAAGCAGAATACTATTCAAAGTCATTGTAGTAATTTAATCTTTAAATGTTAACTTTTTTATCCCCCTTACTTTCATCTTTAAATAATGTAACTATGTAGGCTGTAGATTCAGCTGTTTATTATAAACTGGTAAATATTTGTATCATCGAAGCCAGGCTAACCATTAAGACAGCAAGAAAGCATTTGTTCAGACAAGACTGTAACCATTAAAATAATCTGATTGGATGCCCCACTTCTTTTACCTGGCTTTAGATTTTCACCATGGGGAACAACCCAATGACATCAGACTAAATACAGAGATTTCACTGCACACCTCGGCAATGGTGAAATATCTCTCGCTTGGACCGACAGCAGTGTCGACACAAGCAGTCAGGAAAGTACTCACAGAAGCAGCACAGGTTGGGTTTGCTTTTCAGTTAAGGTAATTTCTGGAAAGTGTAACAGAAAATGCCCACTTGCTTAATCTCACATGAAAATACAATAGTGTGCATTTCCACCACCACCAAACATACACAATTATGCATACCCATGCTCCCATCAAGTTACAAATATTATGACAAAATATTGCTCTCAAGGAGTGGTATAGGGAAGGAGGATGCTGCCTCCCCTCATGTCTTGTGTACCTCAGATGGACCAAGACAGTAGGAAACTGGGGCTCTCTGCATGTGAACAACCACACAATGTGCCCGTTGGAGAGCACTGATTCTACTGGGGAGAGAAGAAGAGAGCAGATGGCCTTTAGGGGTCCTACCCTTCCTTGTAGGATCCTCTGAGGTACAATGACTGGGTAAATAGGGAGCTGTGGTCCTCTTGTTCCTGAAGAAAACAGACCCCAGGAGGACTAAGAAGACAGCTTGTAGCCTGGAAAAATGAATCACTAGCCCTGTGGCATGGGAAGGATTTGCTGGCATTTCCTGGAAGTGTGAGAAGAGCTATCCCAAATTGCTGATTGAAATGCTGTGGAAGACTTGCACCCTAACAAACCAGCGCAACTCCACTGCATTTCAGCACCCCAGAGGCGCTGCTACCAGTGGAGGACCTGCAGCAATGAGGACCTCCCTCCAAGCATCCCAAGCCTTTGCCTGGAGGGGCTGCCACCCTCCCACAAAGCCTTCCTGAACCCCACTGGAGACACCTTTTCCTGCCATAAAGGGGATAGTTGAACCCCAACTGGCCTCATGGCACAGGGGGAGAGGATGGGGGCAGGAAGTTCTGCCCTATTCTGCCGCTCTCCAGATACTTGGAGAAAGTGCTGGGGAGCTGGGGCTCATGAAGATTTATGGCTTCACCACACCCCTCTGCAGAGGGCACCCCGTCATTATCCAGTTACTTTGAAATCACTCTCAGCTCAAGCCAGCTGAAGGTAACATGCAAATAACAGTATTTACTCACAACGCCCAAACCAGGCAACAGGGTTGTACATGTTTATAAAAGGCACACGTGAAGAAATGAAAGAAAACCCACACTTCGTTTCACTTGCAGAAAGATTAGACAGAAGCGGGAGCTCCCCCTTCATCCTGCTAGCGTGCTGCAGGTACCACCTAGGAGAGGCTCAGCCTTCCTACATACATGATGCTTCCTCCTACTACCACACACCAGCTTCTACAGCTCCTCTATCCTTTCAAGTCACTCATGGAGTTCAGGCAGATTTTGATCTTTCCTTCCAATGAGCTGATTTCTTTTGGAGGCTGTGCTTTCTAATTAGGGTTACACATTGAATGTATCTCCTGGAGATGCGAAGATCTCTTCCTTAGATGGGTGTCACGCCCTGTGCTCACATGGTCATTTAAAGCTACCTGGACAAGCAAAACCCCCTTCTCCCTGTCTTCTTTCAGCAAGTAGGTGTGTCTCTCCCACTGGCCACACATTTCTTCGTGAAACCCATAAGGCGAGCCCCAGACTGAACTCAAAACATTTCATGCTCATAGGAACAAGCATTTCTTACAAAGATCCCATCTGGGTAGGCTGCAGGTCAGCTGAGTGCAGCCACATGAGTAATGTACCCATCCTGGGGTGGGCTTCCTAGAGTAGTGTGTGCCCAGGCTCTTCTGGGAACACTCAAAGCCCATGGAGGAGCTGCCCAGGTAGGCCTTAATCCATGCTGCAAGGCTCAGGTTTTCAACTGGAAAAGAGATGGAAATTAGCAAAAGATATCCTCAGAAACTTGGCTTTCTTTTGAGGGGGTATAAATAAGGGGTGAACTCCTTAGGAAACTTGGCACCAGTGGGATGAATAACTAGGGCTACACAGCAGAAGGCAGATAAATGGCTTGTGAGATGTGATAAAGACAAGGAAAAGCACAAGGAGACACAGGAATGCAAACTGTATTTTCGAAAAAATGACACGACATTTCTAAAGGCAGCCAGCCTTTAGAAAACTAAAACTAAACTGGCAGGCCAGTTTAGCAATCTCTACTGAGAGCCAGTGTGAGAAGGCAAGCACCGCCTCTTGGAGCCTGTCTCAGCCCTCCTACACTGGACTGTAAATGTGATGGGATGCAGAGCCCTGGGACTCACTGCAAAATCCGGTTCCACATGTGAAAAAAAAAGTCCTTTTAAAAATGGGATGCAGGTGCTAAAGCAATCATGTTAAAATCAAAGGGATTAGGCAGCTTTTTATCAGTATTTTCAAGGTCCTGGTTCTATGTTTTTATCCTTGCGTTTTCTTTTCTGTCTCTTATCTACTGCATTGCAATGAAGTTCTTTTTTCCCAGGTAAGTTGCGAACATAATTTGGCCGTGCTGTAGTGTCCATCCTCTGGCAGCTACCCTCCTGCAAGAGGCACAGAGCCCGTGTCTCTGCTTTTATGCAGCACAGGGAGGAGGTTCCCAGCCCTGCAGCCCTGCTGGGGAGGCCCTTTTGGTCTCAAACAAGCTAATTTTAGACAACAGTGAGATTCATAAGGAACAGAAGGTTTTCTTCTGTGTATATCACAAACTTGTTTACAAGGTAAATGGAGAACAGTCTGTAATTTGGTTAATCTAATTAATTATACAGTTGCAGCCTGGAGATGAAAGGCAAATGTACTCATGAGGAGCTCAGCCTCCAGTTGTGAGCTGCAGCGAACTAGGTGATGGCCGAATCCCCTTTCAGCTGCCATCATGTATGGTCAATCACCTGAAGAGAGACCTTCAAAGAGAAGTCTTTAGAATTTTGGTAATTCCTCACTGAAGTGTAAGCACTATACTTGTAGCAGGAGTGCCTCAACTGAACACATACCTACTCTTATGGAAATAATCCGAGACATTTCAGTGACAGACTATTAGCCCTAGTCCTGCCTTACATCTCAGCTTCACTGTTTTCATCCTCTTTGCCTAGAAGTTCCATTGCAGTTTTGGGCAGGAGATGCTTATTTTGGTTGCATATGTATTTGCTGTGCACAGGAAAAACGTCTTCTGCAACAGGGAGGAATTTGCATTTCAGCAGGGATGACTAAAACAAAGTGCATGTTGCCTGGCCTTTGGAAAAAGGAGGCTGCACAGGAAATTACAGTGCAGATTCCATATTGATGTGGTCTCAGGCATTTTTAAACAGAGAAATGAATGCTACTTAAAGCTGAGAAATGAGCCAGAATCAGCAAAGAAAACCCTCTTAAAAAAATCACTTGTCTCGTTCTGTGAAATGCTGTCATTTTATAAAAACTATTTTAAATAAAGTTTTAAAAGTTTAGTCTCATAAGAACCAAAAAAGTGCACTGTGAGGGCAAGCCAACCAGTCCATTCAGACTGTATCCTGTCTCCAGTGGTGGGGGAGGACCAACTGCTATTGCTGATCCAGCCAGTGCCAACTACACACAAAAAGAAAGAGGAAAAAAAACCCAAACAAAACCCAACAACAAACCCAAAAACCAAACCCAGAAATCCTTTACTTCCCTGAGTGTTATTCTACAGCTCCAGTCAGACTTGTTCCCCCAGAACCTTAGCAAAGAATAACAGAAGAACCTGACCAAGGCCAGAAATGCCATCCCTTTCTGATTCAGCCACTCTCCACAACCAAACCTACTTTCATTTGTAAACTGAATTTCCAGTTTACAAATTAGAATTTAATTTGTAAATAATGTTTCACTTTATTTAAACTTCATGGGCTTTTCCAGATGTAGATGAAGTGGAAAAACACTTAAAGTATAAAAGCTAAGGTGTCTTAAATCCTATCTTAGGATCCCTGCTTGGAAGGGAAGTTTGTTCAGATGTATGATGTGCACGTGTTTTGATATGCACAAAATTCAATCCTGGAAACCATAATCTAGACAAACTGCATTTTTAAGTTTGACTGGGAAAAAAGCCATGAAAATGTGCATAAGGGCAGAGAACACCACCACTAACAAGGATGATGAGCTGGCTTGTCTTTAAACAAGCAGGGGGAAAGGCAGACAAAATTAAAGATTACTAAATTCTGGCCAAGGATATGTATAACCAGACAAACTGGGAGACATGGACCATGCCAGGACAGCAACAGACTCAAAGGGAGCAGGGAAACAGGCAGGGTTGGGATGGGTTTGAAGTAGCAGCTGGTTCCCACCATGACACAAAACCCCAAGTGGAATATATGGAGAAGAACAGGCGCCACCATCGACATGCAAGGGAAGAAACATGCTGTGGCTTCCCTTCTTGCAGCTAACAGAACAGCCACAGCTTCTTGTCCAGCAATAGTTTTTAGTTGCTGGGGAAAAGCTTAGGATACACATACCCCTTAAAATCACCAAGTAAATCGGGAAGAACCTCAGAACTTCTGTCAGAGGACAAATGATTTCCTTCTGCTCTGAAGAGGTTACAGCCTAAACAAATGGCAGTCAAGAGGAAAAAGCATTTACAGGGGGATGGAGTGGAGAGATTAAGTGATTTGCCAAAAGTCACAGAAGCAGCCTGTGACAAGTAGTCTGTTTTACATTAAGTCCCAGGGTTTTGGCCCTATGTACCTTCAGAGCATTTGAAAGCATCCATCATCGAGTTAGGAACTGAACCCTCACTGCTCCATGATCTAATGCAATGTCCTTTCAGTAACTTGAGACAAGCCTGGCCTACAGTGTATGTCACCTTATTTTAAATACATCAGCAATTACAAGTAATGAGTTAGATTTACCTATGGGAAGTCCAGCAAAGACTTTGACTATGAAAACTTCCATTACTCCCGGAAACCTCATCAGGCGTAGTATTTCTCTGATGCTGAACAGACTGCCAGACTGTGATGTGCCTACAGAAGATGACACATTGATTAATAATCTGTATATATAGGTTGGAGGCAGAAAGCAAGAAACTCTGTGACTGTCTGCTGAGGTTCATCACCAGCTTTCTGAAAAGGCATGTCTCTGTAGCATCAGCTTTGTGCCAATGGCAGGAGGTTGGGAGCTGGTACTAGGTCTGCATGCAGAGGGCTGCTGTGAGACAGCAGGACTGCCTCCTATGCCAGGCCAAACTAACCCCAGCAAGGGGTTCACATTCACCTTTTTCTGAGATGCACAGCAAGCACTGGGCTGGGAAAGCCTGCAAATCTGCATGGCAGAGTGGTTAACAGGTAGAGAATAATACTCTTTTAAGCATTGAAGTGTCAGCATTTCAAGGTTGGCACCTTTTTGCCTTAAAAGAAACGCCCAAGTCTTTTAGCAGTCTCTACAGCATGTCAATCCTGTGTCCCTATTCACATGCTGTTTATCAGAAACACTAAATACTTACTGTGCTCTGTCAAATGATGGTCTGGTTTTGGTTTAGCCTGCAAAGGGATCCAAAACATTGCTATCATGGTATTTATGAGATTTCCCACCAGACCGACATATATAGGAGCAAAAATGCTGCAAACAGAAAAAAAACAAGTAAGTGGATGAATATAAACAAGACATTTTTACCCCCATTCTGCAAAAGGCTCGGGCATTTGGATGAGGAACAATCCTCTTGAAGTCATAGTACATAAGGCGATAAAAGAGCACACATTCTGTCATGGAGGTTTTGGATATGACCACAGTTTGAAATTTCAGCAAAAATTACTATTGGCATAAAGATCAGTTATTGTTTGTATGAATAATAGGGTATAATAAAATGCTTTAAAATTGTGTCATGCAAAAAGAGCTCTTCTTGGTTTAATGAAGCTTACAAATCTTTCCATTGAAAGCACAGCATCTGCTTGTTAGGATCCATCTAATCCCCCATCTAATCCGCAATTTCATTCATCTAAGTATCATCTCAGTCCTTGAAATTTCTCAGTGCAATCCAATGAATTTAAGGAAAGTGAAGAAAGTACTCAAGATGATTAAGGATGGTAGAATACAGCCCAGCCTACAACCAGAAGTGAAAAAAACAAGGAGCTGCTAAAAGTAACAGTCATGATTTACAAAACCTTCTGAGGAGGTGAGTAAACAGCACTTCGATTGATGCACCTCCGGAGGTGCCTAAAATCAAATCAACACTGCTTCAACTGTCCTTCACAGCCCCAAAAGCTGGATCTTTAACAGAAGTAGAGCCACATCCTTAGATGCAGACACAGTGAACAGATATTATTAACAGTAGTTAAACAATGATAAAAAGGAACAATTTCAACTTAACTAAAAAAAACAAACACAAACCACATAAAAGGCATTAGAATCAATAATAAATCCTCAATTATCACTGTCCTCTTAAAAGAGAAAATTAGGAAATGACTCCTAGTATTTAAGACCATGTAGGAAAATTTCAGACTCTGAAGGGCTTTAACTCTGCCAAACACATGTAGAGCGAAGTCCAGGGCTGTAAGACTGAAACTCAGGAGAGTCAAGCTGAAAACAAAGGGATAAACTTGTTTTGTTCTTAACAGTGAGAGCAATTATCCACTAAACCAGTTCACTAAAAGCCTCCCCTATCATGGGAACCCTGTTAGTTGAAGGGTTTCATAAAGCATTTGCTTAAAACCTACTGCAGGACACAGGTTTGGGATGGGAATGCCCAGCGGAAACACCAAAGGGCGGCGTCACAGAAGGCACAAGACTAAGTGAACATCATGTTGTTTTGAGGGCATCGAAATTTAAACACCCTGGCTTCAGCAAACTAATTCATGTGTTTCAACAGCCATGTGGGTCTATGCAGACTCCGAGGTGACCACGCCATCCCCAGCAACCTGTGTTGTAAAAACAAGATGCAAAAGAGAGTTTTGAGCAGCCAACCAATGCTCCCTGTGAGCCTGCTGATACAGAGCAGCTTATTGACTGACCTTTTACTGCTGTTTCCTTTTCAGACCATTGTATGTTTTTCATGAATAACTAGCAGCAGTAATTGTAGAAGCCTCAAGTTTCCTCTGTGCTAGACAAAGGTATGGGCTGAATAATTTATAGAGTATTATTAAAGTCCCAGAGCAAGACAGGCAAGGATTGAGATGCAAACAACTGAGAAAAGCATTAAAGAGCAAATACATACATATACACACTTATTCTCACTAATAGCAACAGCAGAAATCCCAGCTGAATATTTTCATTCTCATTAATTATTCTTAATAACAACAAAGCCAGATAATATCTTCCTGCAAATGCACTTAGTACAGTAATTTAGACCTGCTGCCTTCCATCCACCAAGCTGTTCTGCTAATTACCCCAGACCACAAAATTAGTCATTTACTAGATCGTTAGTTTTTATTTTTAGTGCAGCAGATTGACACTTCTTGATTTAAAATTATCTGTCAAGCAGTACCCAAACTACTGAAATTAACTTTGTGGACCCAAATTTTTATCCAAGAAATGTGGAATTTCTACTTTGCATTGCAACATACAGTAATAAATTTGCTAACAAAAAAAAAAAAGAAGGGATGAAATAATCAAAATAAGTAGCTGCAGCTGGTTTAGTGGTTTTTAGGGCTTCTCTATTTCAAGCTTTCCTTCTGATATGGAAAAAATGCATCCAAAAATCTTCATTGGACAGAAAAACTTTCTTCAGAGTCCTGTTTTTTCCTGAGGTTTTCAGAATCCCACATGCCAATATAAATATATTTTATCCTTCAGATGCAAGAAGAATTATAGCAAACAATGAGAAAAGGATCCCCCTATAGAATTAGAAAGCAAAAAATGCACTGCTTCACTACAAGCGTACCACTGATAATTCATTGCTGTGAAGTGAGAGAAGAACCTTGACAATTTACCTATTTGGGAAAACCTGGTCTTACTGTAATGGATTTGTGGCATTTTGTATGGCTGGACTCTGAAATCAGAGAAATCCAGTAAAATATCAAGCCCAAAACTGTATTTCCCAGACAGGCCTGAAGTGTTCAAAATCATCTGAAAACCCCTTTTCTTAACCACAGCTTTCTGTAAGCACTTCATCTTTTTCCACATATTAAACAGTAGCATTCCTAGAGGGAAAGGTGATGAAGGTGCACACTCAGATTAGCTTCTCTACTATCTTGTCCTTTGGCAGGGATGAACTCAGGAATTGGAGAGGACATATCTGTCCCCAGGAACCCACTCCTTGCATTTCTTTGTTTGCTCATTTCAGAAAGATGAAGTGAAACCAAGGGTTATAAAAATGGCTTATCAACACAGCAGGTCATCAATTTTTTTCCCTGATGGAGCTTAACTTCTTTTTTTTCTGATGTTTCCATTACAACCAATGAGTTACTCATGATGACACCTCCTGTGCCACCCCTCACGTACATAATCAATGGGACACATCCTCCCACTCCTATAGTAAAGAGCAACTGTTCTACAAAGCAGCAGCTGTCCTGGGTTCAGCAGTAGCAGTCATTTTTTTCTCTTTCTTAGTAGCTGGTGCAGTGCTGTGTTGTGGACTTTCAGCCTGGGAATGGTGCTGATAGCACCAATGTTTTTAGTTACCGCTCAAATGTTTTGGTCTGGCCAAGGACTTTCCGAGCATCATGCTCTGCCAGGGAGGAGAAGAAGCCGGGAGGAAGCAGAGACAGGACACCTGACCCAGGCTAGCCAAAGAGGTATTCCATACCACAGCACGTCATGCCCAGGATGTAACTGGGAGTTACCTGGGAGGGCTAGTGGACTGTGGGGTTGGAGGAGGTATCGGTCGGTGCTTGGTCAGGCTGCAGGGGGGCGAGTTATCGGTCGGCGGGTTGTGAGGTATTGTATTCTCTTCCCTTGTTATTTCTCTTATTATTATTATTATTAGTGGTAGCAGTAGTGATTTGTTACTTAGTTACTAAACTGTTCTTATCTCAACCTGTGGGAGTTGCATTCTTTTCAGTTCTCCTCTCCGTCCCTCCAGGAGTAGGGGGAGGGAAAGAAGAGGGGGAGTGAGTGAACGAGCTGCCTGACTGTTTTTAAACCACAACAGCAGCTTTCTTGACACATCATCACTTCTGAATCCCCTGTAGGATTGCTCTGGGGCTTGGGTAGGTGAGGGACTGCACATATTGTCTTTTCCTGTTACACAAAGGCACATAAATATTTACATTGTCATGTAAAAAGACAAAAATGCTAAAACCAGTGTGCATGTACTGAAATATTATTTCTGGCAGCAACGAAGACAAATGTCAGTGGGTTGAGCTAACAGTATTCTTGCAACAGTGCTGACAGGAGACTGGAGGCCAATGCATTTGCTGGGGAAACTGGTGAAGTTGCAATGATGCTGCTGGATCCTCAACTAGAGCTGCTCCATGTCACTGCCACTGACAGGGAAAACTACCCACATGCCCCTGGGAGGGGAGATGCAGTTCTGCAGAGGTGGATGGGACGGAGGTGGTAGTGGTTTGGAGGAGTCCAGCAAGTAGCAGGAGGGCAGGGGGGGGGTCTGCACCACATAACAGCCTCAAGGAACAGTGCTTTGGCAAGGGGAAACAGTGATGCTATTGCCAGTGGCAGAGAAAACAGCTGGAGGTTATCACTGATAATCCCTCTGCTTTGCTTGCTGGACCATTTTCTACATTCTAAGCAAGAGCAGAACCTGGGGCTAAACTGTTGCTCTTATTTCTTACTGGTCTGATGAGGAACAGGTGGCACAAAACAGAACAGCAAAGCTAAAGGTGAGACACTCCAACCCCTCAGCGGAGCCAAAGCCTAGGTGTTAGAATGATTGCTGGGTTGACAATTCCTGCTGTGCAAGACCTGGCTTGTGGGCACACTTTTTTTTTTCTTCTTTTTTTAAAAGATTTAAACATGAAATCTCATCTGTGCTGATACCAGTATGAGTCCTTCTGCAATCAGTTTTACCTGCCTGGCTGATCAGGAGGAAGTTTTGCCAGGAAGGGACATGGTGTCATTATTAAGAAAAATGAGGCACATTAAGCAGGTTGCTCCCACAGGACCTTTTCCCATTCTCTTTCCCTTCCTGCCCTCCCTCTTGTCCCTCCTGGCTGTCCACAAACCAGCCATATGAAGCCAGAGCAAGCTGTGCCAAAACCAGCAGCAGATTTCCTGAGTGGAGCAGAAGAATAAAGGATGCAGACAGGACTAATACAATTAAATTAAAGGGAGCAAAAGGACACAGCAGCTTTGGCAGCTAAAATTATTGTGTGGCCTCTTCCAGCTTCTTGCTGATTAATGGAGGTTAAGAGCCTTTACTGTCCTAGGCTTTATGGTCAAAATAACTTGAATAACTTTATCTGCATACTTCAGCACATTACTTATATTTCCTTTGCTTCTTTTGCATCTAGAGAGAGAGTCCCCTGCTGACTTTTTGTTAGCAGCCTTCCTTGCTTTCCCTTGGGGTTTTCTGGTAGCGAAGCTCCTCTCAGGTTGTCAGCTAAGACCACAGCTGCCTGCTGTTTGTGTGTTTTCAGCCTTGCCATGAAAGGGAGGAACAAAATGCATTGTCCTGTCCTACATGGGACTGACATGCCCCAAGGTTCTGCTGCCAGGAGGGTATAAAG